ACAGCACTCTTGGCAGCACTCCTGGCACACTTGGCAGCACTCTGGCAGTACTCTGGCAGCACTCTGGCATCACCTGGCAGTACTCTGCAGCACACAGCAGCACTCTGGCAGCACTCAGGCAGTACTCTGCCGGACTCTGACAGCACTCTGCAGAACTCTTGTGCAGCACTCTGGCAGCACTCTGGCAGCACTCGGCAGTACTTCTGGCATCACTCTGACAAGCACACCTGGCAGCACTCAGACAGCACTCTGCAGCACTCTGAGCGCACTCTGGCAGCACTCTCTGGCAAGCAATCCTGGCAGCACACCTCTGGCAGTACTCTCTGACAACAATCTGGCAGCACTCTGACAGCCTCTGGCAGCACTCTGGCAGCACTGCTGGCAGCACTCTGGCAGCACTCTGCAGCACTGACCCCCCTTGGCAGTACTCCTTGCAGCACTCTGCAGCACTCTGGCAGTACTCTGGCAGCACTCTGGCTAGCACAACTTGCACACTCCTGGCAGTACTCGGGAGCACTCTGACAGCACTCTGGCAGCACCCTGACAGCACTCCTGCAGCACTCTGACAGGACTCTGGCAGCACTCTGGCAGCACTCTGGCAGTACTTTGGCAGCAGTCTGGCAGCAACTCTGCAACACTTCTGGCAGCACTCTGGCCAGTACTCTTCTGGCAGCACTCTGAGCAGCACGCCTGGCAGCCTCTGGCAGTACTCTCCTGGCAGCACACTCTGACAGCACTCTGGCAGCACTCTGACAACACTCCTGCAGCACTCTGACAGCACTCTGGCAGCACTCTGGCAGCACTCTGGCAGCACTTTGGCAGCACTCTGGCACACTACTGGCAAGCATCTCTGGCAGTAACTACATCTGGCAGCACTCTGCAGCACTCCTCTGGCAGTACTCTGGCAGCCACCTCTGGCAGCACTCTGGCAGCACACCCTGCAGTACTCTGGCAGGACTCTGACAGCACTCTGGCAGTACTCTGGCAGCACTCTGGCAGCACTCTGGCAGCACTCTGGCAGTACTCTGGCAGCACTCTGACAGCACTCTGGCAGCCTCCTGGCAGCACTCTGGCAGCACTTTTGGCAGTAACTCTGGCGCACACCTGGCCGCACCTGCAGTACTCAGGCATGCACTCTGGCCAGTCCTCTGCAGAACACTGGCAGCACTCTTGGCAGCACTCAGGCAGCACTCTGGCAGCACTCCTGGACTCTGGCAGCACTATTGGCATTTACTCTGGCAGTAACTCTGGCAGCACTCTGGCAGTAATCGGCAGCACTCTGGCAGTACTCTGCAGCACTCTGGCAGACTCTTGGCTGTACTCTGGCAGCACTCTGGCAGCACACTGCAAGCATTCTGGCAAGCACTCTGGCAAGTACTCTGGGCACACTCTGGCAGACTCTGGCAGTACTCTTGCAGTACTCTGGCAGCACTCTGGCTACTCTTGGCAGTACTCTGGCAGCCAATTCTGGTAGTACTCTGGCAGCACTCTGGCAGCAATCTGGCAGTATCTGTCAGCACTCTGCAGTACTCTGCACACTCCTCTGGCAAGTACTCTGGCAGGCACTCTGGCAGCACTCTGGCAGTACTACTCTCTGGCAGCACTCTGGCAGTACTCTGGCAGCACTCTGGCAGTACTCTGGCAGCACTCTGGCAGTACTCTGGCAGCACTCTGGCAGCACTCTGGCAGTACTCTGGCAGCACTCTGGCAGCACTCTGGCAGCACTCTGGCAGCACTCTGGCAGTACTCTGGCAGCACTCTGGCAGTACTCAGTGTAACTCACCAGAGTGTAACAGGTATCCAGAATTATAAACTTTACGAGTGGGATTTCAAGGAAATCAGACGTTTGGTTTAACACTGTAGTATTAAACCTCATATAAACCACAACACAAATAATGACTGACAAACAATAACATTAATAATACATAAAAATAATTAATAATAATAATAATAATAATAATAATAATAATAATAATAATAATAATAATAATAATAATAATAATTAGATTATTTAATGAAAATAAAGAGACCTGTATTTTATCGTTGTAATAAATTAGACAATTTCAGTGGTGTGAGGCTCTGTGGAATACGTCGTCAATTTCAGTGGTGTGAGAGGCTCTGTGGAATACGTCGTCAATTTCAGTGGTGTGAGGCTCTGTGGAATACGTCGTCAATTTCAGTGGTGTGAGGCTCTGTGGAATACGTCATAAATTTCAGTGGTGTGAGGCTCTGTGGAATACGTCGTCAATTTCAGTGGTGTGAGACTCTGTGGAATACGTCGTCAATTTCAGTGGTGTGAGACTCTGTGGAATACGTCATAAATTTCAGTGGTGTGAGGCTCTGTGGAACACGTCGTCAATTTCAGTGGTGTGAGGCTCTGTGGAATACGTCATAAATTTCAGTGGTGTGAGGCTCTGTGGAACACGTCGTCAATTTCAGTGGTGTGAGACTCTGTGGACTACGTCATAACTTTAAGTGGTTGTTGAGACTCTGTGGAATACGTCATAAATTTCAGTGTGTGGAGGCTCTGGTGGAACACAACGTCAATTTCAGTGGTGTGAGGTCTCTGTGAATTACGTCATAAAATTCAGTGTGTGAGGCTCTGTGGAACACGTCGTCAATTTCAATGGTGTGAGGCTCTGTGGAATACGTCGTCAATTTCAGTGGTGTGAGGCTCTGTGGAACACGTCGTCAATTTCAGTGGTGTGAGGCTCTGTGGAATACGTCATAAATTTCAGTGGTGTGATGCTCTGTTAACACTCCGTCATTTCAGTGGTGTGAGGCTCTGTGGAATACTTCATAAATTTCAGTGGTGTGAGGCTCTGTGGAACACGTCGTCAATTTCAGTGGTGTGAGGCTCTGTGGAATACGTCATAAATTTCAGTGGTGTGAGGCTCTGAGGAATACGTCATAAAGTTCAGTGGTGTGAGGCTCTGTGGAACACGTCGTCAATTCGGCGGTTACAATTGATTTTGACTCAGGTTGATTAATTGACGCTTATTCGGAAATTGAAACTGCAAAATCGTGCTTTAGGTGGACAGTGGTGTGGGGTGGTGGGTGGTGTTGGTGTACCGAAGATAACTAAATTATATTATGGAAGATAACTGAATTATACTACCGAAGATAACTAAATTATATTATGGAAGATAACTGAATTATATAAGGAGAGATAACAAATCATTTTACATTAAATAATTTATTTATGTTACAGAGGTTATACTTCCTTAAGACTCTCACCCTCAGGGGCTGTAGCTGCCTCTAACACCACCTCAGGGGAGTGGTTGTCCCTGGCACCACCTCAGGGGAGTGGTTGTCCCTGACACCACCTCAGGGGAGTGGTTGTCCCTGACACCACCTCAGGGGAGTGGTTGTCCCTGGCACCACTTCAGGGGAGTGGTTGTCCCTGGCACCACCTCAGGGGAGTGGTTGTCCCTGGCACCACCTCAGGGGAGTGGTTGTCCCTGGCACCACCTCAGGGGAGTGGTTGTCCCTGGCACCACGTCACGGAGCGTGGGGTTCCCCGACACCACGTCAGGGAGTGTGAGGTTTCCCTGACACCACGTCAGGGAGTGTGGGGTTCCCCTAACACCACGTCAGGGAGTGTGGGATTCCCCTGACACCACGTCAGGGAGTGTGAGGTTTCCCTGACACCACGTCAGGGAGTGTGGGGTTTCCCTGACACCACGTCAGGGAGCGTGGGGTTCCCCTAACACCACGTCAGGGAGTGTGGGATTCCCCTGACACCACGTCAGGGAGTGTGAGGTTTCCCTGACACCACGTCAGGGAGTGTGGGGTTTCCCTGACACCACGTCAGGGAGTGTGGGGTTTCCCTGACACCACGTCAGGGAGTGTGGCGTTTCCCTGACACCACGTCAGGGAGTGCGGGGTTCCCCTAACACCACGTCAGGGAGTGTGGGATTCCCCTGACACCACGTCAGGGAGTGTGGGGTTTCCCTTAAACCACGTCAGGGAGTGCGGGGTTCCCCTAACACCACGTCAGGGAGTGTGGGGTTTCCCTGACACCACGTCAGGGAGTGCGGGGTTCCCCTAACACCACGTCAGGGAGTGTGGGATTCCCCTGACACCACGTCAGGGAGTGTGGGGTTTCCCTTACACCACGTCAGGGAGTGTGAGGTTTCCCCTGACACCACGTCAGGGAGTGTGGGGTTTCCCTGACACCACGTCAGGGAACCCTTGGTGTCAGGAAGGGAAGGGGGCGTAGTTCCACTGACACACAACCTCAGCTGGTTCTTGTTCCATTAAAACAATCTCTTGGAACCTGATTCATCTGCCATTCAACAACAGGGAGGGTATCTAATTCCCCATGACGCCCCTTATGGGGTCTGGCTTCCCTACCCCAACACAAGATTCTCTCAAGTTAACCTTAAACATATATGGCCATAAAGCGTGCCCGAGACAGAACTCGCGCCAAAGTAGTCCTAGAGGAGTACTTCAGGGCATTAAGGAGTGAATACCGCTGTAAGATAAGCTTGTTAAGCTGGCCAGACCTGCGCTAACTACAGTTACTAACTTAAATTGTTGCTATCATGTATCCGTGTGATACAGAGGTGCGTCTTGCAAACTTTATGACTTTATTTTTCACGGCCAAATAAGATCTTGTCGACTTTGTGAAAAATTTATACTGGAATTTAAAGACGATAATGTATCCTTTTTAGCAATAATTGTCATTTACTTACTTTTGTTACGAATTCAAATGGCTATAATATGGAGGTATAGAGCACAGCCGAGGGTCGGGGGATGTGATTAGTGGCTAATACCCGCCCATAAAGCCACCACTAAATTCTAAAGCCTAAGAGTGAGGGCTACGGAATCCCTGCTCAAACACGGGTTTACCCTCAATGAATAAGGGCGGGTGATGGCGTTGGACAGGCATGAGGCAGCCCGCCCATAATTGCTCTTGCCTGCAGGGTTCTCGACCACCCAGAGGGCTGGCCTAGCCCAAGCTCGACCGCCCAGTAATGATTTTATTACTCCCCGGGTCTAATGATAACATTGGGAGAAGCTGTGGTAACATTTACTTTGACCCGCGTCCCTCAGCTTCTTCAGCGGCGGGAAAATCACATGAAGATCGAGGCGGCGACCAATGAGAGGCATGGGAGCTGAGGCTGCTCCTCCCACCTTGAGACCTCCCCGCGAGTGGCTATCGATTCCCTGGCTGGAACCAATGGCGTGTGAGCGGCGCATGTGATGTGCGCGGGGGCGGGGCGGTGGCCGAGATTATCATAGTGCACCGCGGGTTTCCGAGAAGCCACGGAGGGTGTCAGTGAAACTCGATATCTGAGCGGCGAGTGTCATGGTCTGTGGCCGCCAAGAGGGAATCACTGGCCGGCCCGTGCAGTAGCTGGCGGGTCTCGTGCCCTCCTGACGTGTCCACACAGGCTCTCACGTGCCCGCTCGTGTTTACGTACCTCGCCGCAGGGCCTTGAAAAGTGTTGCTAAGTGTTGATTGTCCGTGTAGCTGAGTGACACATGAAGCACAATACTGTGAATTTTATATAGATTATCCACCATGCCGCGCCCCTGCCGCGAGAGTTACGGTGATCAGAAGCCGCCGTACTCGTACATCTCCCTCACCGCCATGGCCATCTGGAACAGCCCGGAGAAGATGTGTACACTGGCGGAGATCTACAAGTTTATTATGGACAACTTCCCCTACTACCGCAAGAACACTCAACGCTGGCAGAACTCTCTGCGTCACAACCTCTCCTTCAACGACTGCTTTATCAAGATCCCTCGTCGTCCTGATAGACCCGGCAAGGGCGCCTACTGGACCCTACACCCGTCCGCCATGAACATGTTTGAAAACGGTAGCTTCTTGCGCCGCAGGAAGAGGTTCAAGATACCCAAGCCTGAGAAGGCGGCGCTGGAGGCGGGTCTGGCGCACCTGCACGGGCGACCCATGGACCCACTGGAGGCGCCGAGGCTGACGGAGAGCAGCTCGTGTCCTGAGCTGCAGCAGCACAACAAACAACCCTTCACTATAGAAAACCTGGCTGCCTCAGACGCCAAGCCACCCACGCTGACGGCACCCACGCCCGTCTACCCGCCCGGCACCCACATGGCTCACCTTAACGCCCACTTGGCTTCCCTCAGAGGGGCGGGAGCCTACGCAGGAAGGAATCTGGGCTTTGGGCCATTGAGTGCCCCCAGTCTTCTGCCCCACCAGGAAACCACCCTCACGCCCACCTCCCTGCCATGTTCTCTGGGCACTGCCTTCAGTTCATCACTCAACAGTACCTTCAACTGCTCGCTCAGTACCTCCCTCAACAACTCGCTTAGCGGGCACCTGGCTGCCTCTCTTGGTGGCACCTTCGGCAGTGCCCTTGGCACGTCTCTTGGGGGACTAGGCGGCCTGGGAGGCTTGGGCCACAGCGTCGGGCATTTAGGGAGTTCAATGCCATCGAGTCTGGCCACGTCACTGCAGCAGCTGTACAGTGCTGCACTAGCGCAGATGCCAGGTTTGCATACCCATGCTGGTGGCATACCCTCACACCTGGCACGCCTGCACCCACCCACGCTGCCTCTGCCCGTGCCTGTACGACCCACGCCCCTGCCACCAGCGCTGTTCCATGCCCTGCCGCCCACCACTCCGCAGGGGTTGCCCACCCTTCCACCCCTTTCGCTCTTCCACCCGAAGGTGCGGTGCATGGCGCCCCTGCTGCTGGAAGACACATTGCCAGAGGACAACCCTATGGAGGCTCCCTGTGACGACAAGCGCTCCTCATCCCCTGCCCGGGGCGACGCCCCCTCCAGCCTGCGACCTCCACCTGCGGCTTCCCCACCCGCGGGCGGCACCGCAGCGTCCCCCCAGGGAAGAGTCATTTGACAGTAGTGATGCGGGTCGCTCTGCCCGCGTCGTCAAGCTGCCAAAATGTATTTGTATAGAGGAGAGAAGAACATACAGAGGAGAACAGAGTGATAACAACAACTCTTGCAAGTGCCAGTTCTGTAGTGATGTGATATGTGACAGTGCCAGGCAAGTGACTGTTGGGTGCCACGGAAGTGACAGGTGCTGTCACACAGGTAACAGGTGGGTGTCACACAGGTGACAGGTGTCACACAGATAACAGGTGGTGTCATACATGTGACAGGTGCTGCCTCACAGGTGACAGATGCTGTCACGAAGATGACATGTGCTGTCACACAGATAACAGGTGGGTGTCACACAGGTGACAGTTGCTGTCACACAGCTGACAGATGGTCACACAAGTGGGTGTCACACAAGGTGACAGGTGCTGTCACAGGTGTTGTCACACAGGTGACAGGTGTCGTCACGCAGGTGACAGGTGCTGATACACAGGTGACAGACGAGTGCCACACTCACAGCTGGAGTTCCCTGCCTCCCTAGACAGTGCCACTCACGTGCCGCGCCTTCTGCAGGACAGCGCAGAGAAGGGTTCCAAAGATTATGAAGTTCGAGCCACCCTGAAGACACCGCGGCACTCCCGAAGAACCTTCGTCAAAACTCCTGAAGGGACGCTGTTGTCCCTCCTATGTACAGCGTCCTACCACCCCTTCAGGAGAGGGGAATGGACGCAGCGACAGTGGACGCCAGCAGGATCTCCCGCTCCTGCAGATACGCCGGCAACACCTTCGCCAGACTCAAGCCTTCGCTGGAGGCGTCTTAAAAACATCAGCCCCCCAGGAGACTTGCCTGGGGAACCTGGTAAGGGTCGCAGGTGAACTGTAGTCACCTGCCCAGGTGGCAGGTGACTCTCAGACCTGTCACTCCAACATTCTATGCGACAATAAACATAGTCTAGTACACCTCTGTATCATTCACTCCCTCAATATTCTCGAGAGAGATAGATGGAAAACATTCACTCAACATTCCCACCAACAGAAACAGTCAACATTATCCCCAATATAAACATTCTCTCAACCCCCCCCCCCCCCAAAAAAAAAGAAAAACATTCTCAAAGTAGAAAAAAAAAAACTCAATATTACCACATAAAGTAACAACCCAGAAGATAACTACTAAAAAAATTACCTTTCAAATGTAATTTTGGGGAAGATAATCACAATATTTACATCCACCAACAACGAGGTCTGAGCCACACATTTATATCTATACTAATTTATAGTAAAATATAAAATAATAATACAAGCGACATAAATCGCCTCTTGTTGTCATGACGACGAATTTGCGAAAGTCTAAGAATTTTTTATTTTATTAATAAATCACTTGATGGGAATTAACATGATATGCAAATTTTTTAAAGCAGCGTCGAGCCTCTCTAAAGTCTACTTTATCTTATGAGAACTTTATTTTAATTTATATTATTTGACATATGTGATTTTGAGTGATGTTCAGACTGGTTGTTGTAGAGTTTTATGGAAAAAATTAATGTACTACCGTTGTTGATTAAGCAAAGGAAATATTTTCTGATTACATACATATATATATATATATATATAATATATATATATATATATATATATATATATATATATATATATATATATATATAATATATATATATATATATAATATATAATGATGAAAAAATAAGGTGAAGTACTGTGAGATAGAGATACTGATGATGGTAATGATGATGATGATGAAGCAAATAGTGCAGCAGCAGCAGCAGCAGCAGCAGCAGCAGCAGCAGCAGACATCAACTGTATAATGCCAGTGATGAGTGAGGAGGAAAGGCAACGAGCACATCACTGCTGCTCTAACATCACATAGTTACTCACATGTTTGTGTACATACAAACACATCACTTACCCAGCATGTGTGGCCTCACTGTGGATGTTTAACGTGTTTATAGAGAGGTTTGTTAGAGCAGCGGATGTTAGACACATTCACCATTGTACACATGTGGTACATCAGCAAGATGAAGAATTAGACACATGTGCAGCATCCGGGCATCTTCACTGCAGATATTTCACCATCCAGTGGCTTTATCAATACAAATTCAAGGACATAATTGGAAGACTGCCGAACTATATACAAAAGATGAGGTAATCAGTCCCTCAGTCTTGGAGTTGGTGAACTATACTGTAGTCATGAAGTCTTGATACTCTTGATAAAGCCACTGGATGGCAGAAGTCTGCAGTAAAGATACCCAGATGTTGCAAATGCGTCTGATTCTTCACATTCACCATCATTCGCGCCCTTACTGCTTACCCAGAACGATCCAACCACCATGTCCATACCCACCTCCTCCACGGAGGCACAGAACTGACCACCTCAAATTCCCATATATCACTAACTGATGTGCCTGTATCCCTTCACAGGTGTTAAGTTGTTTACACTCCTACAGCATGACAAATCCTAACCACCACTTGTCTCCACTCATTCCAATCTAAGACGCTCCCATATGCCTGCTGGATGCTCCAGCACCGACCTCGCAAAACCACCTTCACACCCTCCTTCCAGCCTTCCTCGGACGTCCACCCCCTTAATCCTCTTTCCATTTCTTTTTAGCATGACCGAACCCTTTCGACAAGCACTCTTCTGATCTCTGAACCATTACAAAGCGCACTCAGCTCACACACTGACGTCAGTGGTTCGATCCCCTGTGCAGGTGGAAACATTAGAACGTGTTACCTTAAGACACCTGCCTCTCCTTGTTCACGTAGCAGTAAATAGGTACCTGGGTGTTAGCCGACTGGTGTGGGTCGCATTCTGGGGACAAAATTAACCTAATTTACACGAAATGCTCTGAATAACAAGGGACTTTCTATACAGAATGTTTTATAATGTTCTTGTAGAAATAAAGATTCTTCTTCTTCTTCTTCTTCTTCTTCTTCTTCTTCTTCTTCTTATTATTATTATTATTATTATTATTATTATTATTATTATTATTATTATTATTATTATTATTTCTGATGATACGTCGAAGAGTAAGCTTGTGGATAAGTTTTCTTGATTATTTCTTTTTTCCGATCAATTTGTCCTCCAGGGAGGTGGTTGAGGACGGAGAGACGAGGAACAAGGTTTTATTCTGACAACGTTTCGCTTTGTGTGATGTTTATCGCGTCGTGATTTCGTACAGCTCTACCTTGAGGGAAACGTTGCCCCAGTATCATCTTGCTCTGTACCGTGTGTTTATATGCAAATAACCCGCACAAATAACACAAGTAACCCGACGACGTTTCGGTCCAACTTTAACCATTTACAAAGTCACACCGAAACAAAAGAATGAGGGAACCAGTATATGTATGTGAGGGTGACGGGGACGGGACCAAGAGAGGAAGACAAAGAAGTATTACCAGTGGTAACAAATATATTTGCTCAACCCACTTTCAGTGCTACCCTGGGAATATAACGTAATATTACCGTGTCATCAGCAAACAACAACTGTGCTGTATTCGCTACTAGTCGTCACCTCATCCATGCGCATGTCAACTACCCAGGGTGTCATGTCACCTCTCTGACCAATGCTAAAAAAAATTAATTTCCTTTCTCTGCCAGACGTTCCTAAAAACTCAGGATCTCTAAACAAACTACTTGTAACTTTCAATGACTTACCAACTGTACATGTATGGTACTCGATACCGAGTACCATACATGTGCAACATCTGGGAATCTTGTATAAAGATACCCAGATGCTGCACATGTGTCTAATTCTTCAACTTACCAATTCCATAACTTTTAACATCTATCTTACTCCTTCATCCTGTCACTCCTCTTTCTTTCTAAATTTATTAACAAAGGACTTCACATGACTTTCCTAAATATTGTTCATTAATCTGCTTCAATAATAAAAAAAATTTTATTCTCTTTTATAATTCATCTGAATACCAATATTACGTTACCATCAATATCAATATTACGTTACTATCAATATCAATATTACGTTACCATCAATATCAATATTACGTTACTGTCAATATCAATATTACGTTACCATCAATATCAATATACGTTACCATCAAATCAATATTACGTTACCATCAATATCAATATTACGTTACTGTCAATATCAATATTACGTTACCATCAATATCAATATTACGTTACCATCAATATCAATATTACGTTACCATCAATATCAATATTACGTTACCATCAATATCAATATTACGTTACCATCAATATCAATATTACGTTACTATCAATATCAATATTACGTTACCATCAATATCAATATTACGTTACTGTCAATATCAATATTACGTTACCATCAATATCAATATTACGTTACCATCAATATCAATATTACGTTACCATCAATATCAATATTACGTTACCATCAATATCAATATTACGTTACCATCAATATCAATATTACGTTACTATCAATATCAATATTACGTTACTATCAATATCAATATTACGTTACCATCAATATCAAATTACGTACCATCAATATCAATATTACGTTACCATCAATATCAATATTACGTTACCATCAATATCAATATTACGTTACCATCAATATCAATATTACGTTACTATCAATATCAATATTACGTTACTATCAATATCAATATTACGTTACTATCAATATCAATATTACGTTACTATCAATATCAATATTACGTTACCATCAATATCAATATTACGTTACTATCAATATCAATATTACGTTACCATCAATATCAATATTACGTTACCATCAATATCAATATTACGTTACCATCAATATCAATATTACGTTACCATCAACATCAATATTACGTTACCATCAATATCAATATTACGTTACCATCAATATCAATATTACGTTACCATCAACATCAATATTACGTTACCATCAATATCAATATTACGTTACCATCAATATCAATATTACGTTACCATCAATATCAATATTACGTTACCATCAATATCAATATTACGTTACCATCAATATCAATATTACGTTACCATCAACATCAATATTACGTTACTATCAATATCAATATTACGTTACCATCAATATCAATATTACGTTACTATCAATATCAATATTACGTTACCATCAATATCAACATTACGTTACCATCAATATCAATATTACGTTACCATCAATATCAACATTACGTTACCATCAATATCAATATTACGTTACCATCAATATCAATATTACGTTACCATCAATATCAATATTACGTTACCATCAATATCAACATTACGTTACCATCAATATCAACATTACGTTACCATCAATATCAATATTACGTTACCATCAATATCAATATTACGTTACCATCAATATCAACATTACGTTACCATCAATATCAACATTACGTTACCATCAACATCAATCACAGCTCTGACATAGACTAAGAAATATAATAAACACTTCCTGTACAAGTATGACATAAATGGTACACAATATTGACAAGAGGATGAACAAGACACATGTACAACACTTGGGTGTCTTTATAGTGATAAGCTTCGCCTGTACACTAGGCTTTTTCAGTCAACTACACCTCAGTATTCAGCTGATGAAGTTTGCTGAGAAGGCGGAACTTTTCCTCTATACTGAGATACTAAGTGTCACCATTTGTACCTTGCTTGTTAATTCTTAAGATTTCGTGAGTCAAGATGACGGTTTTGAGGAGACTTGAGCTAGAGCACGGCATAGCCACGCTGGTGTGGGATTAGTCTCTAAAAACCTGCATTTGAGGTCACAGTGGTGGCCCATGCTAACCTCCCTATGGTGTATACAAAATATACCTAGTTGAATGAATCTTCTTAGAGCCAACTGGTCCAGTGGTTAACGTACTGAACTGTAAGTTTTAGGACTTAGCATGCGTTCAACCCACTACCCGTTCCCTGGCTTAATTCTTTCTCTCTTCCCTCATACAGTAAATGCACTGACCATCACAACACTGTACCCACCATCACAGCATTGTGCCTACCAATCCAACACTGTACCCACACTCACAACACTGTACCCACCATCACAACACTGTACCCACAATCACAACACTGTACCCACCATCACAACACTGTACCCACCATC